CAGGTTTTTCTAGTGAATGAAAGCATATCATTACTATTTTTACTATTATTGTTTTCATTATTGGATATTCTCACGAGTAATGAAGATATGAGAAATACATTTTTGTTGGTCCCTGAAGATATACTTAATGTCCGAAAAGTCAGCGAAAACAGCCCATAAAAAAGATTTTGGTACTCACCATCTGTAGCTTTGGTTTTGGGCTTACAGACGTTTTTGACCATTTTCACTGCAGCGTCCATTTGTTTTTCATTCAACTAAAAACAATGTTAATTGAAAATTTGAAATACACTCTGACTCAACGATGTGCTGACTTACCCCTGTAACACTGAGAATACCAAGCATCAGTAGAAGTATTGTAGTGTGCTTCATTTTGAACCTTATTCTATTGAACCAAAATTCTTCTGGGAAAGGAATGAATCTCGTGAATATTGTTGATTTTACAGGTTTATGAAGTATGAACAAACTCCACAGTAATTACTGAGAATAGTTACAGGAATGAGTTTTAATTATACTCATGATATTGACTGCGGATGAGGAGTTACCAATTATAAAAATTGTGGAACTAATAATTTATTGTCGATGTCTGAAACAATGAATTAGTATTTATTAAGAATTTCCGTGAAATTAATTATGGTGTGGATTGTTTATATTTTTTGTTTTCCCGAAGAGAAAGATGTAGGTGTATTCATCTCTCTGAAGCTCCTGGTTTACATGGGATAACTATTTAGAAAAAGTGAACTCCTATCAAGCTGACATTGCGGAAAACATATGTAGAACAACACCTGTCGGTCTACATATATTGAGATTCAAGGTATATACCTTATGGTATAGATCAGGGGTTTCCAAACTTTGAAGCCTTCGGGCCATAATGATTTTTTCAGTTTGTTCCAAAGGCCAATTTCTGCCCTTAACTATATTTCTAGACTAGGATAGTCGCAAAGTGCGTGATCTAAGCAAACTTACGGTTTTTTTTGCATTTCAATTATTATTGTGTATTGTGACACATAACGACATCTAGTGGCGAGTAGTGGTACTATGTACTATCTTTTTCAGCTACCCGCTAGGTGGCATTAGGCGTAATTAAATATTTGGAATTACCGCGTTGGTTCGAGAAAGTTCTGGTTCTAGCTA